GTGGGTTTGGGACAGTGCTAAACTACTAAAAGCGTGTAATTGTCTAGAGGTTCACAATCAGGTTCTTGGTAGAAGACTTATGAATAGACATGCAGTTTCTCATCAAAATATGCAGCATTTGCTCCAAAAGTAATCATTCCCACCCAGGGAAATGATTTATGTTTTGCAAGGGAAGTGCATGGGAATAGAGATCTGTTTAACTATTCCAGTCTCCTTCCCCACTCCAGGCCACCTGTGACAGTCATTCTCTCTGACAGCTGGACCAGGGACCTTTTGAGCTAAAAATGCCCATGCCAGAGGTAAAACTGTCATGTATATATAGAATCATGTACAGATGGATCAACTCAGGTCCTCTGTGGACTGGCAAGGAGAGGCATTTGTAACACCCATGTTCAGTGTTTCACCATTAAGCTTGTTCTTACTGCATCTGGAATCACCAGTCAGCAAACTCCTCTTGCCACCAGAGAGGTAAACTAGTTTATAAAAGCGTGCTAGAAATGGCTTTCTTCTTGCAGAGTGCAAGAATCTCACAGAAGTGGGAGGCGTGGGCTTTGTCATGGGTTTGCAGGAGACGTACTGCTCTCTCGCAGTGAAAACATCATCTCACAAGATCACCCCAGATCAGAGCCACTTCCTATGTCTACTCCAGCATGTGCACTTTCTCTGTGAATTTCTGGCAGCTGGAATAATGAGAACAGACCAGGGAAGTCACTCTACTAGGCTTAACCACTTTCACTGGCTCTCCTGTATCAGCACAGCTCTGCGGTGTGCTCACCGGACAGAAATCAGGGCTAGAGTTGATACGAGCCAAAGGGAGAAGGAGGGGTGTGCTCTGCCTTCCACTTGCTTTGGCTGAGAAGAGAGTAATAGCAGCAGCTGTGCTCCTTGCACTTTCAGAAGTATTGCCAAAATGACGAGAAGAGGTATATTAGGTGGGACCTCTCTTTGCCCAGCCTTCCCTCCCCACTCTCTCACACATCTCACACAGCCTTTGGTCTGGCCTGTTTCACACCTGCCTGAGGACACAGATCCCCTTCATCTTCCTCTCACTGCTCTCCTTAGCCCCAGCCTGCTCCTTAAAAGAACATACACGACAGCATCTCACATGGGCAGAAATATGTCAAGAGCATCTGGGACGAATGAACCGCCTTTTAATCACCATTTGCAAACATTCCTGGGAACATTTAAACTGAAGACCTCATCTTTAACAATGTTATCCCACATTTTCCAAATAATCCAAAGATTATTAATCCCATTTCAGAAGACTTTGTCTTTCAGAAGAGGGATTGCTCAGCACTTCCTAAAATCCAGACACTTTGAGATGTTCCACTATTAGACAATCACCAACCACAAGACTCGCTGTAAGTACTTCAATAAAATTAGTTCTTTCACTAGTGGCAGTTGTAAATAGTTGATGCAGAATTCAGCTCAGTATGAGCGGTCTCACACCTGACTTTGCAGTCTCACTCTCTGACTTTCCTGAAAGGAAGCCAGTTCGTTAGAAGGTAGATAAATAAGATCATTCTGTACATTTCCCCAGCCCATCTGCTGCTTTACAGCTTTTTCCTAAACTCTGGGTCCAGCAGAATTTAAAGCCACGTGACTCAAAGGAGGAAATCTGAAAGCAAAACAGCAAGATTGCTATCCAGCAGCATCTGCATCTTTTAGCTCAGAATGTTCATTTCTGATTGCATCTCTCTGCCTAGTTACAGAGCAGTCTGCCTCTTGTGTCAGTCTCCAGTAGTATGTCCTTTAACCATAACTGAAAGCAACTGGTCCCCCACGAAGGCACATCTGCTCTAACTCCATATTACAACAGGGAAAAAAAATGACATCTTCAGCTATATAAACCAATAAAGACAGTCTGATTTGGTTTGCCCCTGTTGCTACCAGGCAAGCTCCCCACTGGGTTAAAGACTTGTGACATCTGCTAAAAAAATGTCAAGAGAGAGGGGAACAAAACTGGATAATGAATCACACTGAGTACTTGATGCAGCTAGAAACAGTAAAGGAGGAGTCCGTTCCCTTTCGTCCCCAACCCAGGGAAGTCAGGGTCACCAGAAAACTGATTGTTACACAGTCAGTGGCTCTAGCTAGCTGTGAGACATACAAAGTTATAGAGGCAGACGTGCACTTCTCAGCAGCTACTGAGAAATATAGAGACATGGCAAAGAAAATAAGAATGCTAAGTACGTATTATCAAGCTCTCTGGAGCTGAGAAACGGTTAAGTTAACTCTACCCTCTTGTGCATCTGCGTTATGATACAGTCCATAATTAAAAGATGACACGCCTCTCTTCTTTACATTGCAGACTAGCATATGATCCATCTCCCCATCATTTGTAGTGCAGAATCACGGGACATCTCCATGCACATTTTGCGCCTAGCTATGCCAAGAAAGCTTTTGCTGAGTAGGATGAGGAGGGGTGATGGAGACTCTCTTGGACCCCCTTCAAACAAGACAGAGATGTGCTGCTTCACTGAAATATCTGGTTAGGCACAAATGCTCTCCCTCACACACCTCTCCAAATCTACAGCTCTGAGACTATTATAAAAACAGTTTAACTGGTCTGCTGAAGGCAGCAGAACTGTCCATCTTACGAGCTCAAAAATCGTGACTCATATGGCCAAAATGATGGGGGTTGTTTTATAAATCACGTGATTTCTTCTAACAATGAATTGGCAAAGGCTCGGCTCTGCTTTTGATCTTTCCAAGGAAGCATTTAAATCTTTTCTCTACAACTGCAGGAGCTTCTTGTTGTTTCTTGCTTAAATTAGAAGGTCTTTATAATCATATGCATCCAAGAACCGATGCTTTAGGGTAATGCTGTATTGAAGTAATGAAATTTGCAACACAGATTTCCTCTCTCCTGCCACAGCTGATCAAATACAAAATTTCTACTATACTTATTTTAATATACATATTTATCCATGTGCTTACGGCCTTATTTTGGAAAAAAAAAGAAAAAAGAAATATATGCAATTGTACACGTAATTACCACAGGCATAGTTAGCAAATGCCTGAACTCACAGGGCTTTACACTCCCATCCAGCGGACCACTTAGTATGTAACTGAAATCAACCCCGCAAAGCTCCCAGCACAACTTTTTACCCTGATTTCGGTAAACCAAGTACTATGCTGTGAATCTAAGCAGACATTTGTACCCACACATGTAAGAGTACCTGACTTCTGTTTGTAGAGCTTGAAAGCCACATTCCTTGCTCACTTTTAGCCTGGCTTCCTGAGAAGTTAAGTTTATGCCATTAAGCCTTTTGCCCATCTATCTGCTTATCTGTTCTTCTCTCCATCCATCCATACACTTGTTTGCCTATCCTGTTCTGCTTACCTTCCTTATATCTTTGAAACCCACACTCAGATGATTAGAGCTCTTATAAACATCAAGCTGCTATGAGTTTCATAAGAGTCAGTGGTCCAGCTGATAAGGAGAATCTGAAGTATTATCCTCCCTGTGGAAAAGGTTGCAGTATGACCTCCCTGTTCTGTCTAGCTAGCTGCCTGCCCATCAGCACACAAATGCCATCAGATCAGTCAGCGTGGAGGCACCACACATGAGCCATAAAAGCTGCCCTTCTCTCTCAGTCAGTAATCAGGAGAAATGAGAGGTAGCTGAAAGGACTGTGAGAGGGGACAGGGCACTGGAGATATTGTGAGGCTGAAGGGGTCTGACCTCATAAGGTCTGCGGGGTGTGATAACTGGGATTATTGGCAATTGGGAGGAGAAAGGGAAGGAGAAGGCACACAGGTCTGCCAGAACTTCTGGCTTCCTAGACTTCACTAGCTGCACTGGCTGCAGAACAACCTGTCTAGGCTCACACTGGCAGTCCTGAATTTTTTAAAGTTGACCTTATTTTCTTCAAGTTCCTCCAAAGCCAATCAATGAGCGCTAGGACACAGGGAAAACAGTCCCTTTTCATTTCCTTGATAATCTCTGAATTGTCTGTCCGGGGCTCTTCCTCTTCACAGAAACACACAGAGTATCCCTGCATGCATGCGGCTGACAGAGCTTCCATACCTGAAGCACCAACGGCCCTTGGAGCACCTATGAACCTCACCACAGCAGCCTGGAATAGGTGACCAGAGAAGCATAAAAGCAAAATGCAGCAGTTTGTTCCTCTGAAGAGCAGGATAACAGCAAATCAGCAAAGAGCAAAAGCCTCAAGCCCGCAAACGTTGCCAGTGGTCAGTCAGTGAAGTCCCATCAGAATGACTGCTGCACGCAAGTGACAGTAGGATCACAGCTAACCCTCCTGCATCCCTTCTGTTTAAACAGACAGGGTGAATGGGATAGTCTGCCAGCTGAGATGATCTTGGTCTCAACTCCTCTCTGTAAGTAGTTACATCCCATTAAAATAAAGCTCTGGTTTAGATTTAAGGCATTTTTATAAAACAGCAAAGTAGAATTTCTCCTCTTTTCCTTTCTACCTTATCTTGAAGGTCCTTCTTTCCAAAGCAATGTTTTCGTGAGAAATATGCCCCCCAAGACACATAATGAAACAGAACTATTAACCCTGCAACAAACTGGAGGAAGGTAAGCAATATTCAAACCAAAACAAAATCCACTAGTTTTCATTCTAGTCCAGTCTGATGAAAGTCCCCCAGAGGCTAGTGGGACTTACTAAAATGCAACATCACAGACACTATTACTGTAAATCTTCTGTCTCTCTGAAAATTATGACACCTCCCTTTCATTTTACGCAGTTGATGGAGATGGAAAGGGCTGCAAAGAGTGCTCTTCCATGTCACCATGTACCCATCATCTACCTTGATCCTAGTAGGCAGGCAAAGACGCCAGTCTGCTTACACATGAATTATCACATCACAAGTGCAAATTATGTACTCCTTCCCACAACCGACTGCAAAGGCCAGACAAAGCCAGAACAAATGACACATCAGAACAGAGGACCCCTTTCTTAGCCCTTCCCAGCTTTATTTCAGCATGTGTTGCCCCATCTCCTCCAAGAGCAAACAGCTTCAATTACCTTCATCTCGCTTGCGTTTGTTGCTCTCTGTGCCAGGGGACGTAATTCCCAGAATCCCACTGATGGAGTAGGAAGAGCCTGCAGAGTCGGTACTCACTGAAGACACCTGGGTCACAGACCCTGTGGAGGCTGTAATTGAAAGCAAAGCAGTCAGTGTGCACAAAAATGTGAAAGTCAATGGGCACAGTTGCTGTAGTGAGATCAAGACAGCCTGGGGCTCTGTCAGCTACCATGTGCCCATCTGGCTCAGAAAGCTATCCACTACCAAGCTAAATAGTGATGCTGCACCTCTCTGGGCTCTGAGGTGGTAGGAGCGGCAGCTGTCCTCTGCACCTTGAGATTATGGCCTGTGGGAGGCAGGAGTGGTGCAGCATTTCTTTCCCATCCCCATCACTGCATTACTTTTTACAAGGTGCCTCACAGACGTGGACATATGCATTGCTCTTTGCTCTCATCAGAGCCTGCAGTACAAAATTCTAGTGCTGTGTAAAGAGGCCCTGATGCATATGGGACAGGCTATGCCTTTCCTTTGAAAGCTCAACTTGAGATCACTAATCAGAGACGGAAGAGCTTAGGGAGCCTTTTGTATTAAACACCTCATCCCAGACCAAGTAGAAGGCAGCTGGGCAGCACTAAGAAACAAGTGAGAAGCAGGAGGAAAGTTTCAACCACCATTGTGCCAGAGGTACCTGTGGAAGATACACTTCTAAGGCCAACTGATGCTGTTTGTTTACCAGTTCAAATCATTAATGAAGTGGAAGGAGCTGGGTTTCCAGCACAGTAATGCGCAGAGATAAGATCTTACAAATAGGATCTCTAAGCAAGATGATGTGGAATGCTTTCAGCCTCCTGACACTTCTGGTAGGAGTGAAGCAGCATCTATTTGCTATGCTTGACTTGTTGCCTGGGTTCAGCTGGCCCAAGCCACAAGTCTCTACTCAATGAAGATCTTTTTGGACAGCAAGAGTTACACAGAGACCTCAGCAAGGTCAGCTGGGACCCGCATACGGCTGAAAGGCTATGAGGCTCCCCAAATTGAGAATTAAATCTGTTTTGCTTTGGCAGAGTCCTTAGGAAGGGTGCTGTCTTCAGTATCCAGCCAAAGGAGGTCATTATTTACAGGTCATACAAGTTTGGAGATGCTAGTCAGCACTGGAGATATGGTATTCATGTGATGCTGTGGAAGTTTCGTATTTCCAAGAAGCTCTGAGCCTGTACACATACAGGATGTGTGGCCCATAGCCAAAAGGGGAGCACAGAATCACAGAATCACAGAATGGTTTAGGTTGGAAGGGACCTCTGGAGATCATCTAGTCCAACCCCCCTGCTCAAGCAGCGACCTCTAGAGCATATTGCCCAGGATCACATCCAGACGGCTTTTGAATATCTCCAGCGAAGGAGACTCCACCACCTCTCTGGGCAACCTGGTCCAATGCTCTGTCACCCTCACTGTGAAGAAGTTTTTTCTCAGGTTCAGATGGAACTTCCTGTGGTTCAGTTTCTGCCCATTGCCTCTTGTCCTGTCACTGGGCACCACGGAGAAGAGATGGGCCTCATCCTCTTGACACTCCCCCTTCAGATACTTGTACACGTTGATGAGATCGCCTCTCAGTCTTCTCTTCTCCAGGCTGAACAGGCCCAGCTCTTGCAGTCTTTCTTCAGAGGAGAGGTGCTCCAGCCCTCTAATCATCTTGGTAGCCCTCCGCTGGACTCTCCCCAGTAGTGCCATGTCTCTCTTGTACTGGGGAGCCCAGAAGTGGACACTGCACTCCAGGTGAGGCCTCACCAGGGCTGAGGAGAGGGGCACGATCACTTCCCTCCACCTGCTGGCAACACTCTGCCTAATGCACCCCAGGATCCCCTTGGCCTTCTTGGCCACAAGGGCACACTGCTGGCTCATGTTTAACTTGTTGTCCAC